CCTCTTCACACACTGCAATCCCGCTTGGACTTACAGCTGTATGAGCCTTGAGGGCATTCCACCATGTTGTGAAAGCACGGCGGCGGATGTTGCATCCCAGGGACTTGCTAGGAAGTTCTTTGATGAGTGACTTGAAGGCTGCTTCGCTCCGCTCATAGTTTGTCTGAGACGTGTTGGGCCTCTTGGGGTCTTCGTGTTATCTTCGGCCAGTCTTTAGGCAAACTGCCGCCTGACATGGCACGGCTTTGAACAGTCGTTAGTCCTCGGAGAGTCCCCAGGGGAAAACCGTAGTGAAGCGAACCGAATGTCGGCGCGGATCTGTCGGGTGGGGGGGTTGTTGTGTGGGAAAGCTCCAGATTTGAAGAGACGGTCCCTGCGTCCATTCCTCATCCTCCCGCTGCCCCGCCCCTCCTCTTCTCATCCTCATCGTCATCGTCATTACCCGTTTCAGCACACCCTTCACACGTTGCGTGGTCCCACTACGAGCCCCACCGAAGGCCCAAATGCCAGCGTCCGTATGCGCACACCGCGCCCATTCTGGCACATACTTCACACGCTTCGGGGTTCAATAAGGAGCCCCACCGAAGGCCCAAATGCCAGCGTTCGTATGCGCCCACCGCGCCCATACTGATACACCCGTCGCACGTTTCGTGGCCCCACAGGGAGCCACACTGCAGGCTCAGATGCCGGCGCTCGCATGCGCCCACCGCACCCATGTTGCCACATCCTGCACACGTTTCGGTGCTCAATAGTGAGCCCCACCGAAGGCCCAACTGTCAGCGTTCGCATGCGCCCACCGCGTCCATGTCGGCACACCCCTCACACGTTCCGTGGCCCCACATGGAACACCAACGAAAGTCCAAATGCCAGCGCTCGCATGCGCCCACCGCATCCATTTTGGCACACCCCTCACATGTTTCGTGGTCCCACACGGAACCCTACCGAAAGCCAGCATTCCAGCGTTCGCATGCGCCCACCGCAACCCAATGTGGCACATCCTTCACACGCTTCGGGGCTCCATCAGGAGCCGCACCGAAGGCTCAAATGCCAGCGTCCGCATGCGCCCACCGCGCCCATTCTGGCACACCTGTCACACGTTTCGTGGCCCCACAGGGAGCCCCACCGAAGGCCCAAATGCCAGCGTCCGTATGCGCACACCGCATCCATGGTGGTACACCCCTCGTTGTTTCGTGGCCCCACAGGGAGTTTTACCGAAGGCCGAGCATGCGCCCACCGCACCGATTGTGGCACACCCCTCTCGCGTTTCGTGGCCCCATAGGGAGCCCCACCGAAGGCCCAAATGCCAGCGTTCGCATGCGCCCACCGCATCCATTGTGGCACATTTCTCACACGTTGCTGGCCCCATAGGGGGCCCCACCGAAGGCCCAAATGCCAGCGTTCACATGCGCCCACCGCACCCATTTTGGCACACTTTTGATACGTTTCGTGGCCCCACAGGGAACCCCACCGAAAGTCCAAATGCTGGCGCTCGCATGCGCCCACCGCACCCATTTTGGCACACCCCTCACACGTTCCGTGGCCCCACCGGGAGCCGTACCGAAAACCCAAGTGCCAGCGACCGCACGCGCCCACCGCACCCATGTTGGCACACCCCTCACACGTTTCGGGGCCCCACAAGGAGCTGTACCGAAGGCCAAAATACCAGCGTTCGCATGCGCCCACCGCACCATTTTCTGCACGCCCCTCACACGTTTCGTTGCCCCGAAAGGAGCTGTACCGCAGGCCCACATGCCAGCGTTCGCGTGCGCCCACCGCACCCATTTTGGCACACCCGTCACGCGTTTCGGGGCCCCCACCGAAGGCCCAAATGCTAGCGTTCGCATGCGCCCACCGCACTCTTTGTGACACACCTCTCACACGCTTCGTGGCCACACAGGGAGCCCCACCGAAGGCTCCAATGCCCGCGTTCGCGCGCGCCCACCACACCCGTTGTGGCACACCCCTCACACGTTGCGTGACCCTACAGGGAGCCCCACCGAAGGCCCAAATGCCATTCTGTAGCGATTGTGGCTCAAGCCATTTTGGCTCAATGGCGGCTCAAGCGTTCGCACGGCCGCGCCTCCGTCCGTGTGATGGCGCTGCCTAGAGGGGCTCTGGATCCCGTGACGGCTGCCCGCCTCGCCGAGGCTGCTGTGCGCGGGGCGCTTGGGGCGCCGAGGCGCACGGTGGCGGTGGTTGCGCGGTTTGCGGTCTCGGCGGCACCGCCCGCCGCCGCCGCTGGCGCCGGGGCCCCACCTCCTGTTCCTCGTCCTGGTGTTCCGGGCCGCGCAGGTGCTGCTGCGGCCGGCCCGACGGCGCTCGCCGCTCGGCGTCGGCGCCGCCGACAGCGCCGCGTGGCGCGGAAGGCCGCCGCGGCGCCCCCTATGGAGCCGCAGGCGAGGGCGCTGGGCAGGCTGCTGGAGCCGCTGCTGCCGTTGCTGGCGCGGGCCTCGCGCTCGCCCCCGTGGCCGCTGTGGAGGCGGAGGCTGCCGACGCGGAGATGGAGGACTTCGACGACGCATGGGCCGATGGGCTCGTGCGATTCCCCGATGGTGGGGCGGTGGCGGCCGCTGCGGAGGCCCGCCCGCCTCCCTCGGACGGGGCCGCTGCCGCAGCGGAGGCGGCGGATCCAGCTAGCGGAGCTGGAGGAGCAGCTGGCGCTGCGGGGTGCGGCCTCGGGTGCGACGGCCAGGCCGACGGAGCCGCGCGGCGGCGCCGCGGGCCCAGGCGTCCTCGGGCGAAGGCGGTGGCGGAGCTGGGCGCGGCGCTCGCGGCGGCTGCGCCTGCTGCAAGCGGAGCCGCGGCCTCGGTGGTCGGCCCTGAGGAGGTCTTCGTGGTGGCCGACGGCCTCCTCCGCCAGGCGGCTGACTACGAGCTTCGGCGCAGCGAGCAGCTTCGGCAGATGCTGGAGTCCGTGAGCTGGAGGCCTGCCAGCGCCCTCTAGCCCGCGCTCGCGGGTGGCGCGCCTTGCGCCTGGTGGTTGCCTCCGTTCGTGGCCCCTGAGGGAGCGGTTTCGGTGGACTGCCCTCTTTGGAGGGTGGCACAGCCTGGAGGGTGCCCCGCGGGGGTGTCCCAGGTGATGCCGCAGACCTCAGTAGAGCAAACCGAGCATTCGTCAGCCTCGGCCTCTGCGGTAGCGGCGGGGTCAAGGGGAGTGCCTTCGGCGGTCTGGCCCCGTTCGGGGCTGGCACGGCCAGGCGGGCGCCCCGCGCGGGCGCCCCTGGTGACGGCGCACACCTTGGAGCCATCCCAGGACCGAGCTGGCACCGCGCGAGCCTGGAGCACAGCTAAAATTACCCAGGCGACGTACCCAACCCCTGCGCCATGCGGGGCATGAGTAGCTCGGGGGACGTTATACGGAGGTGACGACGTGGCATGGGCGCATCCACTTCTGCGAGCGGCATTCGTGGGGCTCGCAGCCCCCCCCCCAAGGATTGCGATGTCTCGCTCAGATCTGACTGTGCCTCGCTCCGCTGAACCCGCCACCAGCCTTCGAAAGTTGCGACAGTTTCGCGGATCGCAGCCCCCCAGAGACGGCGAGGCCCCGCTCAGATTTGCGCGGCGCCTCATCCGCTGGACCCACCAGCAGCCCTCGAAAGCGGTTGCAATTTCGCAGATCGCAGCCCCCCAGGCACGGCGAGGTCCCGCTCAGATCTGCGCGGTGCCTCACACCGCAGGACCCACCAGCAGCCCTCGAAAGCGGTGACAGCGTCGCACATCGCAGCCCCCCGCCAGGACGGCAAGGTCCCGCTCAGATCTGCGCGGCGCCTCACTCCGCTGGGCCCGCCAGCGGCCTCCGAAAGTGGCGACGGTCGCGCACATCGCAGCCCCCCAGGGACGTCGAGGTCCCGCTCCGATCTGCGCAGTGCCTCACCCCGCTGGGCCCGCAAGCATGCTTCGAAAGTGGCGACAGTTCCGCAGATCGCTACGCTTGCCCCCCAAGCAGCCCTCGAAAGTTGCGACGGCTTCGCAGATCGCAGCCCCCCAGGACGGCGAGGAAAATGGCGACAGTTCCGCAGATCGCTACGCTGGCCCCCCAAGCAGCCCTCGAAAGTTACGACAGTTTCGCAGCCCCCTTAGGACGGCGAGGTCCCGCTCAGATCTGTGTGGTGCCTCGCTCCGCTGGACCCACCAGCAGCCCTCGAAAGTGGCGACGGTTTCGCAGATGGCAGCCCCCCAGGGACGGCGAGGTCTCGCCCAGATCCGCGCGGTGCCTCACTCCGCAGGACTTACCAGCACCCCTCGAAAGTGGCGACAGTTTCGCATATCGCAGCCCCCCAGGGACGGCGAGGTCTCGCTCAGATCTGCGCGGTGCCCCATTCCGCAAGACCCACCAGCAGCTTTCGAAAAGGGCGACAGTTTCGCAGATTGCAGCCCCCCGCCAGGACGGCGAGGTCTCGCTCAGGTCCGCGCGGTGCCTCACTCCGCAGGACCCACCAGCAGCCCTCGAAAGCGGCGACAGCTTCGCATATCGCAGCCCCTCAGGGGCGGCGAGGTCCCGCTCAGATCTGCGCGGCGCCTCACTCCGCTGGACCCACCAGGAGCATTGGAAAGTGGCGACGGTTTCGCATATCGCAGCCCCCCAGGGACGGCGAGGTCTCGTTCAAGCCGCGCGGTGCCTCATTCCGCAGGACTCACCAGCACCCCTCGAAAGTGGCGACATTTTCGCAGACCGCGGCCCCCCAGGGACGGCGAGGTTTCGCTCAGATCTGCGCGGTGCCCCATTCCGCAGGACCCACCAGCAGCCTTGGAAAGTGGCGACAGTTTCGCAGATCGCAGCCCCCCGCCGGGACGGCGAGGTCTCGCTCAAATCCGCGCGGTGCCTCACTCCGCAGGACCCACCAGCAGCCCTCGAAAGCGGCGACAGTTTCGCAGATCGCAGCCCCCCCGGGACGGCGAGGTCTCGCTCAGATCCGCACGGCGCCTCACCCCGCAAGACCCACCAGCAGCCCTCGAAAGTGGCCACAGTTTCGCAGATCGCAGCCCCCCAGGGACGGCGAGGTCTCGCTCGGATCGGCGCGGTGCCTCACTCCGCAGACCCAGCAGCAGCCTTCGAAAGAGTTTCGCAGATCGCAGCCCCCCAGGGACGGCGAGGTCTCTTTCAGATCCGCGCGGTGCCTCACTCCGCAGGACCCACCAGCAGCTTTCGAAAGTGGCGACCGTTTCGCAGACCGCAGCCCCCAGGGAAGGCGAGGTTTCGTTCAGACCCGCGCGGTGCTTCATTCCGCAAGACCCACCAGCAGCCCTCTGAAAGTGGCGACAGCTTCGCAGACCGCAGCCCCCCAGGGACGGCGAGGTTTCGCTCAGATCCGCGCAGTGCCTCACTCCGCAGGACCCACCAGCAGCCCTCGAAAGTGGCGACAACTTGACAGATCGCAGCCCCCCAGGGGCGGCGAGGTTTCGCTCAGATCTGCGCGGTGCTTCACTCCGCAGGACCCACCAGCAGCCCTCGAAAGTGGCGACAGTTTCGCAGACCGCAGCCCCCCAGGGACGGCGAGGTTTCGCTCAAATCCGCGCGGTGCATCACTCCGCAGGACCCACCAGCAGCTTTCGAAAGTGGCGATAGTTTCGCAGATCGCAACCCCCCAGGGACGGCGAGGTCTCGTTCAGATCGGCGCGGTGGTTCACTCCGCAGAACCCACCAGCAGCCCTCGAAAGTGGCGACAGTTTGACAGATCGCAGCCCCCCAGGGACGGCGAGGTCTCGCTCAGATCCGCGCGGTGCCTCACTCCGCAGGACCCACCAGCAGCCCTCGAAAGTGGCGACAGTTTCGCATATCGCAGCTCCCCGCCGGGACGGCGAGGTCTCGCTCAGATCGGCGCGGTGCCTCACTCCGCAGGACCCACTAGCAGCGTTCGAAAGTGGCCACAGTTTCGCAGATCGCAGCCCCCCAGAGGCGGCGAGGTTTCGCTCAGATTTGCGCGGTGCTTCACTCCGCAGGACCCACCAGCAGCCCTCGAAAGTGGCGACAGTTTCGCAGATCGCAGCCCCTCAGGGACGGCGAGGTCTCGCTCAAATCCGCGCGGTGCCTCACTCCGCAGGACCCACCAGCAGCTTTCGAAAGCGGCGACAGTTTCGCAGATCGCAGCCCCCCAGGGACGGCGAGGTCTCGCTCAATCCGCGCGGTGCCTCACCCCGCAGGACCCACCAGCAGCCCTCGAAAGTGGCGACAGTTTCGCAGACCGCAGCCCCCCAGGGACGGCGAGGTCTCGCTCAGATCCGCGCGGTGCCTCACCCCGCTGGACCCACCAGCAGCCCTCGAAAGTGGCGACAGTTTCGCAGATCGCAGCCCCCATCGTCGGCGAAGAAAGGGCAGGAGGAGGCGGGAGGCGGGAGGAGGAGGAGGAGGAGGAGGAGGAGGAGGGACGCGACCACACCCCTCTATTCAAAACGAATACCCAACCAAGGAGGGTTGGGAAAGAAAAGGTCCAAATGCCAGCGCTCGCGTGCGCCAGCCGCGCCCATTTTGGCACACCCCTTACACGCTTCGTGGCCCCACAGGGAACCCTACCGAAGGCCCAAATGGCAGCGTTCGCACGCGCCCGCCGCACCCATTTTGGCATACCCCTCACACGTTTCGGGGCCCCGAAGGAGCTCCACCGAAGGCCCAAATGCCAGCGTTCGCATGCGCCCACCACATTTATTTTGACACGCCCCTCACACGTTTCGTGTCGTGGGCCTATAGGGAGCCCCACCCAACGCGGTGCATACAACGGCTGTGCCCACAACTGCACATGTTTGAGTTCTTCGCCAGGGTATTTTTGTTGGAAGACTACGGAAACTTCAGTAGACGTGCCTTCGACATTCTGACGCACCCCAGCGTTCGGCTGGCGCGGGATGTTTCCAAAGCGGTGCTTGCGTTTCACGGGGTTGCTCTTATTCTTAGTTCTGAAAACAAAAAATAGAGAGAGAGAGAGAGAACCAAACAAAAAAAAAACAGAGAACCAAACAAACAAAAAAAGGACTGGGCCTGTAGTATGCCTGCCGTGGCCGGGCTGCGCGGTGGGTTGCGCGGTGTCACGAGCTGGCCTCAGTTTGTTGGGTTCTGGCCGCGGTCCGGCTGCGCGAAGGGTTGCGAGGTGTAATGGATTCGCCCGGTGCGCTTGACTCTGACCTCGGCGAGGTTGTGCGGTGGGGGCGCGTCGCGGGAGTTAGGAATTGGTTTGTTTCGTTGGACACCAGCGGTGGCACCATCGATTGTACCCCCGTGGGTGGCACCCGGTGGATGGCACCTCCGATGCTGCACGCCACAGAGCACGCAGAGTCATCATGATGGTTCAAGCCCATGCTTTGGCAATTGTGTAGTATTCAAGGTCTTCGTTATTCATTACGGAGCGGATGCCCTCCTGTTCACAGTACAAATTTTATACGACGTATTGTGTTGCCCTCTGTTGTCTAGGGTCAATCTGCAGCGTTAACATTGCGATTGATGCACGGGCTCTTTGCGCAACGCGTGTTTCTCCACAAGGAGCTCCATTTGCCGAGCAAGGCGGCAGCACTCAGGCCGTGTCATCAGGTGCCACTTCTGCATACAAACCACCTGTTGTATCACCGCGAGCCCTTGGGCCCTCGCCTCTTCATTCGGTATCCCCCCGTCGACTTCAAGAGCGCAGTCGGAGCAGATGGAAGGGTGGGGGGTGGAGGAGGCGGCAGATATGTGCCTTTCTTCGCCCATATGCGCATGAATGATTACGCTGCAGCTACTGGCCCCACCGACGACACTGCTGCTCGCAGTCCGCCCCCTTCAGGCAGGCGTTCTGGTGCAGACGCAGATTCCTTGGCCCTGCGTGGTGAGGCACACCCATCCGCCCGCCCGCCAGGAGATGGCCGCCAAAGCGGGAGGAGGAGCAGACGGCGCCCCTGCCCCGAGGAGCCGAGGGGGGGAGGTTCGGAGAGAAGTGGATTGGGAGCAAGGGAGGAGAGAGGGTCTTGAGCAAAGGACAG